CGACGACAAATTGCACAAAAATATTCGATTTTTGCGCGCATTGTCGTCAAATGTGATGCATCTTGCGTGGTACGGTGTTTACACATAATCGGAGTTTACACATAATCGGAGCCATAATCGGAGCTAATATCAGATTTTTGCATACTTGTAACGGGCCGGGCCCGTCATTTCACTAGTTTCGAAATTTTCAAAAAACACATAAGGGGGGACCCTTATGTGATTTTTTTTCGACCAAAAAATTTTTTTCGAGTTTTTTCGATATTTTTTGATCAGACAGACAAACAATCCGAAATACGAAAAAAAAATGGAAAAAATTATATTGAGAGCTCAAAATTTGGCTCAAAAATACAGAATTTTTGAAACCGGGCCTTCCGGGCCGGGCCCGGGCCTTNANNATCTCCTCAGGCCCGGCCCGGCCCGGGAATTTTACAAGTATGGATTTTTGTGGTTTTTTTTAGCTAAAAATGACTGAAAAACTCGATAAACAGCCACAAATTTTGAGTTTAGATTACTGTAGACTTGATTCTTTTTTTTTGCACATTTGCACTATAATTGACGACTATTTACACCACTTTGAAATTGAATTTCGGGGATTACTGTAGCTCGGATTATCTGCAAACACCAATTCTACACCAAATGCATCAAATTTGACGACAATTTACATAGAAATATCGAGTTTCTGTGCAATTTGTCGTCAAATTCGATGTATTTTGTGTAGAATGCGTGTTTGCACACAATCGAAGCTACAGTAACCCCAGAAATTATATTTTCTAAAAATGACCAGAAATTGATTCAGGATTACTGTAGCTTCGATTCTCCAGCGCAATGCGCTATATTTGACGACAATTTGCAGACTGCGAACGGGCGTCGCGAATGTGAGTCAACGGCGTGACGATTGTGATTTGATGGTGAACGAGGAAGTGGAGAAGCTTCGAAACGCCCTCGACGAGTCGAGAAGTGAGCGCGAACGTCTTCGCGACGATGTACAGAGATTCCAAGTGGCAGTTGGAGAGATTGACGTCGAGTTGGAGAAGCTGCGAGCGGCGAACCGACAGTTGTTGGAGGAGAACAACGCGTTGACGGAGAATTTGACCAGGTAGGAGCAGGGAAATGGACTGAAATTGGTCTGAAATAGCCCTAAAATCATCTGAAATAGTTGGAAATTCACCAAAAATGACCCCAAATTGGGCTAAAAGAGTCCAAAAATTCATCAAAATTGCCTAAAATATCCCAAAAACACATCTAAAATAGACGAAAATTGAGTTTAAAAAGTCTAAAATAGCCCCAAAAGTCCTCTAGAATGGTTAAAAATGCATTAAAACTAGTCAAAAATCGGCTGAAATCGACTAAAATTACCTTAAAATTCTCTAAAATCGTCGAAAAATGGCTTAAAATTGTCTAAAATCGCTGAAAATCAGCCTGAAATGGCTCAAAATTCATCTAAAATGGTCGAAAATTGTCTGAAAATGTGCTCAAAATGGCATAAAATAGCCCGAAAATCATGAAAAATTGTCGAAAAGTGGCTTAAAATGACCCTAAAATGATATAAAACGGTCCAAAATTGATCAAAAATGGCTCAAAAGCGATTTTTGAGCTGAAAATTCGGAAATTTTGACTCTAAAACCTGGAAAAATCACCCAGAATCCAAAATTATAGCCCCCGAAAGAGTGAAAAAGAGGGAAAAAATCGGTTTTTGGGATTACTGTAGCTCGGATTTTGTGCAAACACGCATTCTACACCAAATGCATCAAATATGACGACAAATTGCACAAAAATTCGAATTTTTGTGCAATTTGTCGTCGCATTTGGTGTTTGCACACAATTGGAGCTACAGTAATCCTAAAAAATGAAATTTAAATAAAACTCGAAAAAAAGCTCGAAAAAAACGAGAAAAGAACGGAAATTCGACTTTTGGGGTTTACTGTAGCTTGGATTGTGTGCAAGTACCAATGCTACACAAAATGCATTGGATTTGACGACAATTTGCACAGAAAAATAAATTTTTGTGCATTTTGTCGTCGAATTCGATGCAGCTCAAAGTGTCGTAAGATCTTGGGTTTGGTGTGTTTGCACACAATTGGAGCTACAGTAATACATTTAAGAAAATAATAAAATTCGAAAATTTTGGAGATTACTGTAGCTCGGAATGTGTGCAAACACCATTCGTCACAAAAAGCATCAAATTTGACGACAAATTACACAGAAACTCGAAATTTTCGGGCAAATTGTCGTCAAATTTGATGTATTTGGTGTATGATGGTGTTTATACAGAAATCGGAGCTACAGTAATCCGAAACCGAAAAATGCAATTTTTAAGGGATTTTATGCCACAAAAAACGCTGAAAATAGGTCTTTTTTGTTCACAAAATGTTCGATATTTTATTCCGACTACAAACTACACAAAATGTCGATTTTCAGATACGACGAAACGATGAAATCGATAATCTCGTCGTCAGAAGAGGACATTGGGAAGTTTCGTGAGCAGTTCCACGAGATTCAGGAGAATCACAAGAAGCAACGAGAGGCGATGAATGCTGAGAATGACGCGTTGCGGGAGGAAACGGAGGCGATTAAGAGGCAAAGAGACATTCTGATGGAGGAATCCACACTGTTAAAAGACGTTAATGAGAAGTTAAAGACGAAAACGAGTGCCGAGGAGGAGAAGAATCGTCTATTGCAGGTGGGAAATGCCTGAAAAATTGTTTAAAATAAGCCAGAAATCATGAAAATTGACTGAAAATAGTCCAAAATAACTGAAAAATGGTCCCAAAATGATGGAAAAATGGCTTAAAAAAGCTGAAATTGTCGGAAAAAATCGCTGAAATTGGCTAAAAATGGGTCCACATCATAATTGACGACAAGTTGCACACCAAAATTTGGAAATTTCGATTTTTTGGAGATTACTGTAGCTCCAACATTGTGCAAGCGCCATTCTACACCAAAAGGCATCGAATTTGACGACAATTTGCACAGAAGATTTGAATGAGCGAAAAATCGAGAAAATGAGCTGACAATAGGTGAATTGTGACTGGAAATTAGTCAAAAAAACGGCTGAAAATGGTCCAAACTGGCTGAAAAGCCGATGAAAATGTCCTAAAAATGACTGAAAACGGTCTCGAATAGGTTGAAATAGGCTGAAATTAATCTGACCTAAATTTTGGCTAAAAGTCGCTGAAAATAGCTGAAAATGAGCATGAAATCGATACAAATCGACTAGAATCGACGAAAAATCGACTGAAAATGATCAAACACCACAATTGACGACAAAATACACCGAGAAAATTGAAAAATAGCTAAAACTGGATTACTGTAGTCCCGGTTGTGTGCAAACACTAGTTTACACCAAATGCATCAGATTTGACGACAAATTGCACAGAAAATATAGTGCAAATGCACAAAAATCGAGGCTACAGTAATCCTGTATCAATTTTTGCAGTTTGAAAGTTTTTTTTTTTGATGGATTTTCAGCCAAAATTGAAACTTCTAGCTTCAAAATATCCCCAAAAACCCAATTTCTGGGACTACTGTGGTCCCGATTGTGTGCAAACACTATTTTACACCAAATGCATCAGATTTGACGACAATTCGCACAGAAATTCGAATTTTCTGTGCAAATTGTCGTCAAATATAGTGCAAATGAACGAAACGAAGCTACAGTAATCCTGAATCAATTTTTGCAGTGTGAAAGCTTTTTTTGATGGATTTTCAGCCAAATTTCGTCTATTTCCAGCCAAAATCATAAAAATGAAAATTTCTAGTCGAAAAATAACCAACATCCGACTTTTGGGGGGGATTACTGTAGCTCCGATTATCTGCAAACACAATTTTACACCGAATGCATTAGATTTGACGACAATTAGCGCAGAAGTTCCGAAAACTGTCGTCAAATCCGATGCATTTGGAGTGAACAAGCGTGTTTGCCCACAATGCCGACTTACAGTAATCNCCGAAAATTCACAGAAATTCAAATTTTTATCTGTGCAATTTGTCGTCGACTATGGTGCATTTTCCACTTTTAAACGGGTTTTCGATCCTGTTTTTGTAGTGGGATAAATCGATTTTGGATTACTGTAGCATCGATTTTCAGCCAGAAAAAGCTTTAGAAAATCGATTAGATTTTTTCAGGAAAAATCGGATCTTCTCGAGCAATGCCTATCGAAAGAACGTGCCGAACGTGCTGCTTATAACGAGAAGTCGGAAGAAGCCAAACGAGAGACGGAGGCGAAAATTCTGAATTCCGATTGTGATGGAAATTTGGAAAATGAGAATTCCGTGTTGAAGGTGAGCGCGAGGATTTTCAGCGTGTTTCTGGCTGAAAATAAGCTTGAAATGAGCCAAAAATCGTGAAAAATCCTGAAATTTTGCTCAAAATCCATCGAAAATGAGCCAAATACGATAAAATACAGTATTGGATTACTGTAGCTTTGATTTCTTTTTTAACATGCGTAAAATGGCTAAAAAATGACCTAGAATCCCAAGTTTTTTGCTGAAATTTGGCTGAAAATCCATCAAAAATGCCCCAAATATGATAAAAATTGATGTTGGGCTACTGTAGCTACGATTTTGGTGCGTTGCACCATATTCGACAACAAATTGCACAGAAATTTGATTTCTGTGAATTTCGGGGATTACTGTAGCTTCGATTGTGTGCAAACACCATTTCACTCTAAATGCATCGGATTTGACGACAGTTTTTGGAACTTCTGCGCCAATTGTCGTTAAATCTAATGCATTTGGTGTAGAATGGTGTTTGCAGATAATCGGAGCTACAGTAATCCTCCAAAAGTCGGATTTTGATTATTTTTCGACTAGAAATTTCCATTTTTACAATTTTAGCGAAAAATAGACGAAATTTGGCTTAAAATTCATCAAAAATGACCCAAATACGATAAAAATCGATTTTGGGTTACGGTAGCTTTGATTTTGGTGCATTAGCACTATATTTGACGACAAGTTGAACTGAAAATTTGAATTTTTGTCGTCAAATTCGATGCATTTAGTGTAAAATGGTGTTTGCACAAAATTGGAGCTACAGTAATCCCAGAAATTGGGGTTTGGCGGTATTTTGAAGCTGGAAGTTCCAATTTTGGCTGAAAATCCATCAAAAAAAAAACTTTCAAACTGCAAAAATTGATTCAGGATTACTGTAGCCTTGATTTTTGTGCATTTGCATTATAACTGACGATAATTCACACACAAATTCCAATTTCTGTGCAATTTGTCGTCAAATTTGATACATTCGGTGTAAAATAGTGTTTGCACGCAACCAGAGCTACAGTAATCCAAATTTAGCAGAGAAAATCGAAATTTTTGTTCAATGCACTATATTTGACGTCATTTTGCACAGAAATAGTGTTTGTGCACACAATCCAAGCTACAGTAACCGAAATTCGGCCCAAATTTGATGAATTTTGGCTCAAAATTCATCAAAATTGACCCAGAAAACGGCCATTTCTCAACAATCCAATCAATTATCGATTTTTTGTGCAGCTGCAACTCAAGGAAGCCCTCGATGCGAATGCGGAAAAAACGGACGAGTGTGAGAAGCTGATAATCGAGAATCGATCGCTGGAGAGGGAAGTGGATTTGAGGCAGAACTGTGTTGACGAGATGATTGCTCAGACTAATACGCTACAAATGCAACAGGAGAGCATGTCAACGCAGAATAAGACACTCCAGACGCAAATTCTGGCCCACGAGAGGTCGATTGTTCAGGTAAAATTGACTGAAAATGGGCTTAAAATGGCTGAATATAGGCTTAAAATGAGCTTTAAAAAATAGCTCAACATTCATCCAAAACAGCCGAAAATCGACTGAAAATAGACTTCAAATCGCTTGAAATCGTCCAAAATCGACTGAAAATGTGCTGAAATTCTTCGCCGAGAACGGTCCAAAAATGACGAAAACTGTCTGAAAATCGCTGAAAATCGCCCAAAACCAGTTTTAAAACAGACTAAAAAGGTGCCCAAAAATAGCCAAAAATTCATCAAAAGTGGCAGAAAAAATACGGTTGAAATGGCTCCAAATTGACTGATATAGACCCCGAATTGATCTAAAACGATTCAAAATTCATCAAAATGACCGAAAATCGATTTTTCGTCTGAATTTTCTGAAAATTTGACTCGAAAAACTTGAAAAAATGACCCAAGATAGCTTAAAAACCGAAAAAAAAACAGCGAAAAACCTCGATTTTTTAGGGATTACGGTAGCTCCAATATTGTGCAAACACCATTTTACACCTAATGCATCGAACTTGACGACAAATTGCACAGAAGTTCCAAGAACTGTCGTCAAATGTGATGC